AGCTAGGACTGGACTCCATCAAGGCTCCAAGGGGAAGCCCAGTGGAGGCTGGTAGGGTCTTGGCTGCCAGGGAGAGCTCAACTGTTCCCACTGATGCATAATTGCTACCAGGCTGTTCTCAGCAAATCTGCCCCTATTGGCGATGGTCACTGAGAACACCATCGAGGCAGTCAGGGAGGAGGATAAGGTCCCAACTCCAACGAAGCCTATGGTGCCAAGACTATGTTCTCAGCGGCCATCGTCAAGGGGGGCAGAGTTTCTGTGAGCCCACAGCCACAGCTGCAGGGGTCTTTCCCACTACAGGAAGACTAGCCAGGGAAGCTCCAGAGACCACTCTGTTCATGTCGGCCATGGCTATTGCTGACAACCTACGGGAAGCTAGGTGGGATGTCCCGGTGACTGCTGCTGGACATACCATGGTACAGACAAGAGTACACACAGTGTGACCAGACTGTTCCTCATCACAAAGCCCCAGAGAAGCAGATTTAGAGAGACACGTGTTGTTAAGTCGGTTCTGACTCATAGCGACCCCATGCACAGTAGAATAGAACATGCCCCGTCCTGCCCATCCTCACAATTGTTATGTTTGAGTTAACATTGCTGCTGCTATATCTGTCCATCTTGTTGAAGGTCTTCCTCTTTTTGTCCTTCACTTTACCACACATGACGTACTTCTCCAGAAATTGGTTCCTACTAACAACGTGGCCTAAATGTGAGAGATAAAGTCTCCCCATCCTCGCTTTTAAGGAGCATTCTCTTCTTCCAAAACAAATTTGTTTGTTCTTCTGGCAGTCCAGAATATGGTATTTTCAATATTCTTCTCTAACACCATAATCCAAATGCATTGATACTTCTGTAACTTTCCTTGGTCATTGTCTAACTTTCATATACATACGAGGTGATTGATAATACCAGGGCTTGGGTCAGGTGCACCTCAGTCCTCAAAGTGATATTTTTGCTCTTGAGCACTTTATTTGCTAGCATTTGTTGTTTTCTACTTTTTTGAACATTGTTATTAATGCTGGGGTAAGGTAATACCTCATTGTTATTTTGATTTGCATCCCTCTAATGGCTCTGAAAGGAGCTCTGGTAGCGTAATGGTTACGAATTGGGCTGTGAATCGCAAGGTCAGCAGTTTGAAACTACCAGCTGTTCCGAGGGAGAAAGATGAGGCATTCTGCTCCCGTAAAGATTTACAGCCTCGGAAACCCTGTACAGGGTCACTATGAGTAGGAACCGACTCCACGGCACATAACCACTACCAGTGGCTCTGAGTTGGAAAAAGTAAAATCAGCATTCTCCTTGGACGCCAGGATGGCCAGACTTCATATCTCATATTTTGGACACATTGTCAGGGGGAACCAGTTCCTGAAGAAGGATATCATGTTTGGTAAAATGGTGGGTCAGAGAAAAAACAAGAAGACCCTCCCCTCAATGAAATGGATTGGCAGAGTAGAAATAGCAATGAATTCAAACGTAACAATGATTGTAAGGTTGGCACAGGACCGGGCAGTGTTTCATTCTGTTGTGTATAGGGTCACTATGAGTTGGTACTGATCCAATGGCACCAAACGACAACAACAAAGGAGTCCTGGTGTGGTACTATAGGATAAACAATGGAATGCTAACCACAAGGTTGGTGGTTCAAGCCCACTAATTGCTCCTTGGAATCCCTATACAGTGTCTCCGTGAGTCAGAACTGATTTAATGGCACTTAACAATAACAATTATTTGCCAAAAGAACCAATAGATCTGTTTTACAAGAAGTGTAGCCAGAGTGCTCCTTGGAGGCCAAGATGGCCAAACTTCGTCTCTCATACATCGGACATATTGTCAGGAGGGACCAGTCACCGGAGAAGGATATCATGTTTGGTAAGGTGGAGGGTCAGAGAAGAAGAGGAAGATCCCCAATGAGATGGATTGGCCAAGTGGCAGCATCGATGGACTCAAGTGTGGCAGCAATAGTGAGGTTGACCCAGGATTGGGCAGTGTTTCGTTCTGCTGTGCATACGGTAGCTATGGGTCGGTACCGACTCGATGGCACCTGACGATAACAACAACAAACAGTAACAACACCAATGGCTCTGTGTGATAAGCAGTGGACTGCAAACCACATGATTAGTGGTTCAAGCCCACCGGTCACTCTGTGGAAAAAAGATGAGGCTTTCTGCTCCCACAAAGATGTACAGCCCTGGAGCCCCTATACAGGGTTGCTGTGAATCAGAACAGATTCGATGGTAGTTAATTAAAACAATTGCTAATGATTGCGAGCATTTCTTCATATGTTTTTTTGGCCGCCTGACTGTCCTCTTCAGTGAATGTCCTTATGTTCTCTGCCTATTTTTTAATTGAACTATTTGACTTCTTCTTGTTGCAGTTTTCGAGTGTTCTATAAATTTTGGAGCGTAGTCCCTTGTCTACAATATCTCTGCCAAAATTTTTTCCCCCGCATGTAGATTCTCTTTCTACTCTTATAATAAAATTCTTTGAGGTACATATATATCTGATTTTTGGAGGTCCTAGTCCTCTATTGGGAGTCATGGTGTGGTACTGTGGGTTAATGCGCCAGACTGCAAAGCTGTTTGAACTGCAAGGTTGGCGGTTCGAGCTTACCAGCTGCTCCTCGGAAACCCTATACAGGGTCGCTATGGGTCGGAACCGACTCGATGGTACTTAACAACAACAAGTCCTCTATTTTCGTCTTCTGCTGTTTGTGCGTTTTCAGTTATGTTCGATAGTGTATTTATGCCATGTATCTGAGTCCCTAAGCTTGTCCCTATTTTCGTCTTCTGCTGTTTGTGCGTTTTCAGTTATGTTCGATAGTGTATTTATGCCATGTATCTGAGTCCCTAAGCTTGTCCCTATTTTTTCATTGATGATCTTCATTGTTCTAGGGTTTACACTTAGGTCTTTAATCCTGTTGAGTTCTTTTTTGTATGTGGTATGAGATATGGGTCTTGTTTCATTCTTCTGCAACTATATTTCCAGCACCATTCGTTGAAGAGACTGTCTCTTCACTATTTGATGTGTGTTTTGGCCCTTTGTCAAAGATCAGCTAAGCACAGGTGAGTGGATTTACTTTTGGGTTCACAATTCTGTTCCATTGATCCACATGTCTTCCTTTGTATTGATACCAGGCTCTTTTGACTATTGTGGTAATATGGTGGGTTTTGAGATCGTGAAATAAGAGGCCTTTTACTTTGTTCTTCTTCTTTAACATTTAAAAGAGGTCTTTTGTAACAGATTTCCCTAATGCAACCTGTCATTTGATTTCTTGGCAGCTGCCCATGAGCATTGATTGTGGATCCAAGTAAAATGAAACTTTAAACAACTTACAACCTTTACTCCATTTATCATGATATTATTTATTGGTCTAGTTGTGAGAATTTTCATTTTCTTTACACTGAGATGCAATCCATACTGAAGGCTATAGTGTTTGATCCTCATCAGTATTTCAAGTCCTCTTCACTTCCAGCAAGCAAGATTGTGTCATCTGCATATTGTAGGTTGTTTATATGAATTTTCCTCCAATTCTGATGCCATGTTCTTCATAGCATCCAGCTTTTTGGGTTAGTTTCTCAATTTACAGATTGAAGAAATATGGTAAAAAGGATACAACCCTTACCTTTCCTGATTTTAAACCATTCAGCATCCAACCTGAGGGCTCATATCCCAGAACTATTATCAGACAGTTTTCTGCCGCTATTCATATAGTTTTCACTGAGTAAACTTTCAAAGTGGTCAGCGTCTCCTTCTTCCTAGTCTGTCTTAGTCTGGAAGCGCCACTGAAACTTGTCCACCATGGGTGGCCCTGTTGGTATTTAAAATACCGGTGGCATAGCTTTCAGCATCATAGCAGCACACAAGTCAGCACAGTATGACAAACTGACAGACAAGTGGTTAAGAGACACATGAAACATTTTGTATTTCCTTCTCCCAAAAAGAAAACAATGAATTACACTGTCTTATGATACTTAGAACTCCTGTAGTGGTGCTGGAGGATCAGCACTGGACGGCGAACCACAAGGTCGGCAGTTCAAATCCACCAGCTGCTTCTCAGAAAACCTATATAAGTTCGCTGTAAGCCGGAATCGACTCAACAACATAACAACAGCATGGTATTTTAGCAGGGAAGGGAGGATCAGGGGCCTTAAAGAAAACAAAACATAACATCGTTCCCAGGTCAGCCTAGAGAGTGAACCTGAGGTACCGGAGTGGTCGGTGGGAATGACAGCTCTGGTTTTCCCGATTTCCTGATTGCTCTCTCATCTTCTGATCATCCACCTCCTCTATCTCTGGGATTGGACTACATCAGGCAGCGTCACCAATCAAAAAGCACAGCATTATTTCCACCCATCAAGACTCCAGTAAGCTTTTCTTACTGAACAGAAAATCCAGTAAGCTTTTCTTTCTGTTTTATTTGTAATTGTGGTTTGGGTGAACGTATACAGAGCCAATTAGCTCCCTATTCAATCATTTATACACATTTTGTTTTCTGATTTATGACACTGATTGTAATCTCACTTTCTCCCTGTGTTTCCCAATTCCATTTGTCCTTTCCTGCTTTCAGAACTTTGTTTTGGGGTAAATGCTGCCCTTCTGGCATTGTAAGGGTGATTGTTCTAAGTTGGCCCCTCACACGCGTCGCTGTTTATTTTATAGGCCTGTCTGTTGAATGGTGCAAGGTGATCCCCAGGGAATGGGTTCAGTTGCAGGTCTGTGTTTGTTGAGCCAAAGGTGAAACTGAAGAGGGAGAGTTGGGGACACCATCAGAGAGGATTAAAGATTAGCTCTGGTCCAGTGCTCAGATATTGACCTTTGGCCAGATTTCCAGAGGGAAACTTCAGAGCTGGCCAAGAGCAAAGCAGATGCCATTGGAGGGGAAGAGAGGCGAGGGAGGGGGCTGCGGAGGAGCAAGGAGAGAGAGGAGCAGCCAAGAGCAGCTAGCTCAGAACGCCGTGGTCTCTTCACTGTGACTGCCACCCGCTTGGTGCTCGGCCATGGAGAAAATATTTGGCAGAAACAGGAAAGAGCAACAGGAGCCTGTGAAGGCCCAGGTGACAGGTGAGCATTTGCCACTTTTGTATAAAAGAGCCGGTCTTTCTCATATGGTTATGTTTTTGTTTTTAAGTGCCATTGAATAGGTTCCAACTCACATCAGCCCTGAATAGGGTTTCCAAGACTGGACATCTTTGTGGAAGCAGAAAACCTCATCTTTCTACCATAAACAGTGGTTGGTGGGCTTGAACTGCCGACCTTAAGGTTCACAGTTCAAGGCTTATCCTACAGAGCCACCGTGTTCCAATATATGGTTATAGTTACCCTTTCTCTGATTGTGGAAGTTATACTTATTGTCATTTTTTTTTTTAATCTAGAAAACATTACCTAGGACAAAGTGACCTGTATCTCAGATACATTCTCTGAGAATCTAAGACAACTCACCATGCCCAAAGAAAGTTGTCCTCCACTATTTCCAGAAGAAATGCTCCAATTGGGCTGTGTGTGTGTATATGTGTGTGTGTGTGCGTGTATGGATGTGTATACATGCATACGAATATATGTGTGTCCATATACATATATGTATACACATACATATATACACATATACATATATGTATGTGTGTATATACACACATGCATACACACACATATACATACACACACACACACACACACCCCAATTGGAACACTTCTGGAAATGTGTGTGTGTGTATATGCATATATGTGTGTGTGTGTGTGTATGTGTGTGTGTATGGAGTCCTGGTGTGGCACTGGGGGTTAATGTGCCAGACTGCAAAGCTGTTTGAACTGCAAGGTTGGCGGTTCAAGCTCACCAGCTGCTCCTCAGAAACCTTATACAGGGTCGCTATGGGTCGGAATCAACTTGACAGTGTTTAACAACAACAATACACACACACAATAAGGGGGCTTCCAAAAGTTAGTGGTAAAATTGAATGAAAAGATAATGGATTTTTTTCAATGAACGTTTAGAAACCCCTTAACATTTGTGTGTATGTTTAAGCCCTGTAGGCCAAATAGTTGTTAGCCGAGAAATTGGTGGTTCAATTCCACCCAGTAGTTTAGTAGGAAAAGATCTGAGGATCTCTTTCTGTCAAGATGACAGCCTAGGGACCCCCGTGGGGCAGTTCTACTCTGTCACAGTGATGACTGTGGATTAGAATCGACTTAACTGGCACCCAGCAATGTATGTAAATACATTATACAAAATACAGCTGTTATATTAATTTTTATAATAGATTTATATATTGTTGTTGTTGTTAAGTGCTGTCGAGTCAGTTCCAACCTATAGAGACCATGTATAGGATTTCTGAGGAGCGACTGGTCAGTTTAAACCACCGACCTTGCAGTTCAAACCAACCTTGTGATCAAGTGCTTATCCTACAGCGCCACACCAAGATTCTGTATTTATACATAAAATATGTGATATATATATTTGACATAGGGAGCACAAAGTCTCTGTAAGATAAACACTGGACTGCAAGCCACAAAGTCAGTGGTTCGAGCCCACTAGTCGCTCCACAGGAGAAAAATAAGACTTGCTGTTCCTGCAAAGACTTACAGTCTTGGAAACGCTATACAGGGTTGCTGTGAGTCAGAACTAGCTTGATGTCTCTTAATAATAACAATGATTTCACATAGGCGTGTACTGTAAAATGTTGCCTATTCCAAATGCACGATCTAGTTGTACATATGTATGTATCCTGAATCAGTTTCAAAACGGAAAGAGAATCATGGATGCTGTCCCACTCACACACACACACACACACACACACACACACACACACTCACACTCATACAAACTTGGAGGGCATTGCTGGCTCCCATGTGCCTTTCTTTCCAGAGCCCACAGGGGTGATTTCAACATGTGAATGTCTGCACAGCCACTAAATGAGGCTCAGAGAGGGGTCCTCTTCAGGAACAACCCTGTGGGGAGAGTGTGTCTCATTCTCTACACCTGCTGTATCTCCTCTTCATTTGGGGTTCCACTTTCCTGGCGCCATCTTGCGTAGACTCTAAAGGGTCTGAACCCTGTGTACACAGTATCTCGGTGGCACTTGCTTCGTGTCCTGAGAACTGCAGCAGTGAGATGGCACTTAGGGTCTCATCTTGTGTCTGGTGGGCTGCAAAGTTTCCACAAGAAGAGGATAACAGCTGTGCTCGTTGGAAGCAAAGGCAGGTTGGAGATTCAACTGAAGAATTACCTGGTATGCTTTGTTATTAGAAAAAAAGAAGTGTTCTGTGTCTGAATATAAAAACAATGTCATGGAGTTGATTCTGATTCCTGAGGACCCCGGGTATGACAGAGCAGAACTGTGCTCCAGAACGTTTGCAGTGGCTAATTTGTCAGAAGTAGATCTCCAGGTCTTTCTACTGGGTGGTGCCTCTGGGTGGACTTGAACCTCCAAACTTTTGTTAGCAACCAAGCACACTGTCCATCTGTACTACCCAGGAACACATATAATTGTAGGAAACGCAGATGAGCGCACAGAAATAAATAAAAACCAGCTGTGTTCCCGTCTCTTAAGCACTCTTGATTGTTGTTGTTGCTAAATGCCATTGAGTTTGTTCCGACTTCTAGCCATCCTGTATAGGGTTTCCGAGAAGCAGCTGGTATTTGAACTTCTGACCTTGTGGTTCACAGCCCAGTGCTTATCTTACAGTGCCACACCAGGAGTCCAATCACTATTGATATTTGTGTCTATTTCCTTTGAGTGTTTTAGAGATAGAAAGATTTACTAAGTATGCACAATTTTTTTTTAAAAGCAAATATATTCTTGCTATTTTGGAACATTGTGGCATGCTATTTACTATAGCTCATTTTAATCACATTTCATGACTGCATGGAGATCCTTGGGATAATTTAGCAAACAAGAGTCATAGAGGCTTGCTGGATGGACCCTGAAGTCCATCTGGATTAATGCTTCTTACCAGTGGTCCTCAGGCCTGCAGCATCAATGTCACCTGAGAGCTTAGTAAAGCACCATCTCCAGATGTTATGGAGGTGGAGCCTGGTATCAGTGTTTTCATGAACCCTCCGGATGACACCACTGCGCTGGACAGAGACAGATGTCAGCCCATGTGGGTTTAATTCCACAGCCATTTCTTCTAGCCTTTTGCTTCAGACTTGTAAACAAAGCCTTCTTTCTCTTAACAGGCAAGATTCCAGCATGGCTGCAGGGAATCCTGCTTCGGAATGGGCCTGGGATGCACACGGTGGGAGAAACCAGGTACAGCCACTGGTTTGATGGCCTGGCCTTGCTCCACAGCTTCACGATTAGAGACAGTAAGAGCGCTGAATGAGTTCCCGTTGCTGTTGTGACAACTCACCACACATTTAGTAGCTTAAAAAGACATAAATTTATTCTTACCGTTCTGAAGTCAGACATTGACTATGGGTTGGCTGAGCTGCATTCCTTCTGGGGTCCAGGAGACAATCCATTGCTTTACCTCTTCCAGCTTCTATAGACCACCTTCATTCCTTGGCTTGTGGCTCTTGGCTTCATCTTTGAAGTTAGCAACGAAGCATCTTCCAATCTCTCTTCCTCACTGTCTCTGTCATCATCTCTCCTCCTTTGCTCTGAGACTCCTGCCCTCTCTTGTAAAGACCCCTGTGAAGATACTGGGCCCACCTAGATGGCCCAGGACCACCTACTACCTCAAAATCCTTCATTTGACCACATCTGCAAAGTCCCTTTTGCCATGCAACATAGCATATTCACAGGCTCTGGGACTTAAGACGTGGTTAGAGGGCCATTCTTGAGCCTACCATCAGCACAAACCTTCCTAGAAAGATGTCAAGGTTCTTTGGCAAGGTAGCAAGTTCATCTCACAGAATGAATAAGGAGACAGGACAGAGAAGAGGTAACAGGATGAACAGTATCTGGGGACTCTCTTATCTGTAAGTCTGAAGTTATTTTGAAATAAGACATTTTTTAAAGTAGGCATTAAGATGGAGTGCTGGTGGATAAACACTGGACTGCTAACCACAAGGTCAGCAGTCCAAACCCACCAGCCGCTTCTCAGGAGCCCAATACAGACGGGGCTGCTAGGAGTTGGGACCGACTTGACAGCACTTTAATGACAGCAATAGACGCTGAGATGAATGAGCCCATGTGTCCCTCAGAAAGCCGTCCTTGGTGATTTCCTAAGGAGAGGCAACATTGTGGCAAGTGCCCTACAATGATTTGCATCCCCAGGGTCTGAGTCAGGAGTTCTTAAGAACACTGCCTTCCCGATGGTACTTTTCCATCGGGCTGTTTACAAAGTAGACTTGTAGAACGGTTGCTTTGTGTTTTGTTTTTTGTTTTTTTCTCTCATGATAAATGTTTCCTCTCCTCCGTAACAAGTTGTCCAATTTGACCCAGTTCTAGGAGCTCCCAGGCAGTAGCATGTCTGCTTACTTTGGGTCCCTTTGGAAGGAATGTGGCTAATTGGGCTTCCCATTCAGGGGGAATAGGAAATGTGCCCAGGCTCCCCCTTCTTCTCAGCCTCAGAGATGAGCAGCAGCCTTGAGCATTTCCAGAGCCACATTTTCTCCTGGCTGGTTATTTATGGTCAACGGGTTGCCTGTTTACAACCCAGCCTGGGGTGATGTTTACATTTCAGATAAACAGAAGAGAACGTTTCAGACAAAGTGCTTCGGGGGCCTAAAGAACCTTTGCCAATGCCTAGTGGGTGGGATTCTTCAGAAAGGGACCAGCAAAGAACAGGCTTCAACAGGGAGATCAGGATGGTCCTAAGACAGACGACCATGTGACCTTGCAGATCCCCAGGAAAGTCTTGCTGACATCTGGACTTTGTGGACTTTCCAGAATTATAGCAGCCTTCACCTACCAAAGGCATGCCATCATCTCACTTCAAAATCCCAGCCCTGTGAAGGGTAGAATACGTGATTCTCAATTTCCAGATGAGGGAGCTGAGCTGCAGTGAGATTAAGCCTTCGCGAGGCCCCACAGCTAGAAAGCACAGATTCTAAGTTCAGTCTGTTTATTGGTGGTGGCCGTGGCTACCATTGGTCAGTTCCAACTCACAGTGACCTTGTATGTAACAGAAGGACACAGTGCCAGCCCTGCATCTACTTCAGCATCGTGGGGATGTTGGAGTCCATTGTGAAGTCTTCAAAAAGTCTGTGGAAAAATGAATCAAAAGATAATGGAGTTTTCCCACGAACTTTCTGAAGCTGCCTGTATTGTGTCCACCCATCTCATTGTAAGCACTTTACAAGTCTTGAATGTCACAGCAGCCCTGAGAGAAAGTCTTCTGACAGTCATGTCAAAGGCGAGAGGACTCAGGCTTGCTCCTGACACGAGACCAAGCAAATGGTCCCTGAAGACAATAGATGAATACTTTAGCAAGGATTCAAATCCATACAGTCTCCATCTCCTTTGGGGTAGGGAGTTTGCCCACCCTGCTCACGATCAAACTCACACTATTGTTGTGCCATCGAGTTGGTTCCGACTCATAACGACCCAGTATAGGGTTTCCATGGAGCGCTTGGTGGGTTTGAACCCCTAACCTTCTGTTCACAGTCCAGTGCTGATCCTACTGGCTCACCATGTTGTTGTTGCTGATGTTAAGTGTTGCTGAGTAGGTTCCGACTCATAATGAGCCTTTATAGGGTTTCTAAGGAGCAGCTGGTGAGCTTGAACCACCAACCTTGTGGTTCAAACTATAGTGTTTAATAAATATTTGTTGAAGGCACAAACCCGGGGCCTTGTGAACTCTAAAGGAGTCCTTATTGATTGACTGGGATCCTGGTGTGGCGCCGTAGGATAAAGCACTAGACCAAAGATCTTTTTGAACCACCAGCCGCTCCTTGGAAGTTCTATACAGAGACACTACTTAATAACATTGATGGACTGACAGCCTGTGTGCACACGTGCCTGTTAGGTCTCCCCCTAGTGGTAGTGTATATCAATGTTACTCCAAACCAAACCCACTGCCTTCAAGTGGATTTCCATTCATAGCGACCCTGTATAAGGTTTCCGAGGTTAGCAGTACAGTGCTTACCCTACAGCACCATCACTGCTCCTAAAGGTACTCTCACCCAGTACCACTGAGTTGCTTCCAACTCACAGTGACCCTACACAGGGTTTCCGAGGCTATCAATCTATATAGGAACCTACTCTTTCTCCCTAGGAGCAGCTGGTGGATTCAAACTGCTGACCTTGTGGTTAGCTGCTCAATGCTTAACCCACTGTGCCACCAGGGCTTCTTAAAGCCTCTCCGTGGTTAAAAATAGCAAACTAGGGGTTGAAGGCAGAGCTCCCAGGATCAGAGGGGGCCCTGGGGAAATCCAACCCAAGTATGTGGCCTTCTGGGCAAGTGTTCCAAATCTGGACTTCATCTGGAGGGCCACCAATAGGGCAGAATGGAGATCAACTGACTGACTCGGTGTCTTACCACTGGGCCCTCGCCCAATTCTGAGCCTCACTTCCCTCATATATAAACCAAAGTTAAGAACAGGAATGCTTACCTTGCAACATTTCTGTGGGTCTCCGGTTAGATATGCTGAAAGCGCACACAAATGCATCTTGTATCAGAAGCACATGTTAAAGGAAACTTTCCATCAGCTAAACCCCTCCCCTGGAATGACTGAACTAGAGCTTCAAGACCTGGCAGGTGTCAGTCTGAGATGATGCTGCCTCTTCTCTTTCAGGTGAAGTCTATTACCGGAGCAAATACCTGAGAAGTGATACCTACATGGCCAATATCGAGGCAAACAGGATTGTGGTGTCAGAGTTTGGAACAATGGCCTATCCAGACCCCTGCAAAAACATCTTTTCCAAGTAACCGCCCATTTTGAAAGTGGTTGTGCTTTTTTATATTCTTAATGATCAAAACAACTAGCATTGGCCCCCTTGGGCAAATCTCTTTAAGGTGGAGGAAGAGCTGCCCAGGTTTGCCCTTAGGTCATGCAGTTCGTGACCAAGAGAGGCACTTAAAACCATAAAACCTTAACCAAACCCACTCCCTTCAAGTGGATACCGACTCACAGCGACCCTGTAGAACACGGTAGAACTGCCCCCCTAGAGTCTCCAAGGCTGTCATCTTAATGCGGGCAGACCCCCAAGTCTTTCCTCAATGGTATAGCTGGTGGGTGCTTCTTATTACCACCAAGGACTTAACTACTCCACCAGGCCTCGTGAGATGCATTACTTACACTAGTTGCCTTGGCACATTTGAAGATACCAGTGTGGGACTCATATTCCTTCCAGTAGTTGGGATTCACTGTTTCGCTGGTCTTGGGAGCCATTATGGTATATGTATGATTTCTGCAGACGTCTTGCCATGCCTCAGAACACTCCAGCAGCTCCTGCTGGCTCTCAGTATGGCGCTGGCTGCCATGTTGTCACAGCGGACTCCTTTCTGAGCAAACTCAACATGGTAGTATCTTTGGGAAACTTAGCATCTGAGCCCTCTGGATTCCCTAAATAGCACACTGGGATCCAGTGGGTTTTTTCTCCTTTAATTGAAGTAAAGTGTTTTATGTGGTAAGAAAATAAGGCCATGTAGGTCAGAACTTTCTAGTTGGTAAACACAGTCACTGACCCTTTGCTTTGCTTTTCTCCCCAGAGCTTTTTCCTACTTGTCCCACACCATCCCAGATTTCACAGACAACTGCCTTATTAACATCATGAAGTGTGGTGAAGACTTCTATGCGACCACAGAGACCAACTACATCAGGAAAATCAACCCACAGACTCTGGAAACCCTGGAGAAGGTAACAGCAAATCTACAACCATCAGTACTTCCTGACTTAAGAAAGGGTTTCTCTTGAGCAGCGAGGACTCACTGGAGGAGCCCCCTCAGATTCTGAGCTTGCTCTAGCCCAGCACTGAGAACAAGGTTCTAAGATCTTGCAGGACAGGGGCTGGGTTCGTGTCCTCTTTGTTTCCATAGTTACTGGCATCAAGAAAGAGCTCAAGGAGAATTTGAATGAACGACTGCCTGAGTACGCTTGACTCCCAGCAGCCCTACCTTGTACTGACCTGAAGAGGGAGGCATTAGGCAGAGAGCAAGGGCACAAAACTAAATGTCCACGCAGATATTTTTCCTAGGGAGAGACAAGTCAACATTCTGTTTTCTTGAAAATCGATAGACTCACTTTCAATTTTCTCAGCTGCTCTTTTAAGCCCAAATGTTTCCACAAAACATTTTAACGATCTATTAAAGAGAGTGCTTTTCTTAGATGTGAAATCATGTCCAGCTCCTTTGAAGTGAGGTGGCATAGACCCAACTGATGCACATTGTCCGCAGAGTGACAGAGAGTGAATACTGAGAGAGAGTGGAGAATCACCTGACTCTTGGCTGAATTTTGTGCTATTCCAGGGGAAGGGCACACACTACTGGTCCCCAGCCACTCCCTGGCTCTCAGGTTATGGTCTGTTTAGAACTGGGAGTCATCATTCTCCTTGTTCATGGCATTTCACTTTTTCCAGCTGTTTTTGTAACCTCTGAGCTCCCAGAATGATCCCATCGGAGAGGTCCGGTGGTTTATACCTCTGGGGAATCCAAAGGGGAGAATGTAAGTGACGTAAGCAGAATGGCCCAGAGCAGCAGCCAAGGTGAACTCTAAGGCCATCTAGCACTGCTAGAGCTTTTTGTGGTCAGGCATCCTGTCTCCAGCACTAAGGGCGCCCAGCAGAGCGAGGCAGCAAGATGGGAACAAGTGCCACCAAAGCAGAACCAGCTCACTACTCTCCTGCAACCCATTTGCCCCAGGAAGTGTCTCGTGAGGTCATCTCAGGCTGCAAGAGTCAATGTCTTCTCTCAAGATGAATTCTATTTCCGGGTCAGGGGTATATGAAAATATCCATGATTTCTCTGAACCTAGAAGAAATCCAATTTTCCCAGGGTTTCACCTCCTCCCCTCCCCCTTTCACACCAGGTGGCCATCCTGTCTTGCAGGTCGATTATCGTAAATACGTGGCTGTGAATCTGGCAACATCACATCCTCATTATGATGCAGCTGGCAATGTCCTCAACATGGGCACTTCCATTGTGGACAAGGGGAAGACGAAATACGTGGTATTCAGGATCCCTGCCACAACACCAGGTGGGCACTGTCCAAAGACTTGTCCTCTGCAAGCACAAATGGCCAAGTGTAGTGCCTTCTGCAGACTCAGTCTGACCCTCTCCTCTGCCTGTGATTCAGATCACCAGGATTCAATATTCTCATTCAGAGAAGAGGACTTTCTGGAAGGAATCCATTTTCTGTTTTAATTTCCTTTTCCTTCGGCTCCAGGTTATTCATTTGTTTATCTGTCGACCTACCCATCCTTCCATGCAACCATCCACTTACCCACACCTCCTTCAAACCATCTATCCATCCTCCCATTCACCCATCCATCCACCAATCAAACCATCCATCCACATATCCATCCATCCATCCACCTACCCATTCTTCCAACCATCCATGTACGCACACATCTTTCTATCCATCCACCCATCAATCCATCCATCCACATATCCATCCATCCATCCACCTACCCGTTCTTCCAACATCCATGTACGCACACATCTTTCCAGCCTTCCACCCACTCACCCATCCATCCACCCATCAATCCATCCATCCACATATCCATCCATCCATCCGCCTACCCATTCTTCCAAGCATCCATATACCCACTCATCTTTCCAGCCATCCAGCCATTTAGTCATCCATCCACCTATCCACCCATCCATCCACCCATCCATCCATCTACCCACGTACCCTCACCTCCCTCCAATCATCTATCCGGCAATTTATCCATGTATCATCCATATAGTCATTTATTTTGCTAGTCTTCTGATAAACCTTTATATGCCAGGATTGTGCCGCCCACTTTCATCCTCAGCCCCTGAAGTCAGGCTCCCAGGGCTGTTTAGGGAGTTCAGTCCTCCTGGGATCCATTCCATATCCCATTGGCTGGGCCTCCTGAACCTACTCCACTGAGGCCAGCATCCTGGAGCCTTCTCATGCCCCTGAGGGGGAGGAGGGCAGGACCCTCCTGGGTGCCACATCCAGGAGACGAGGCCTCTAGAGGCCAGTGGCATAGGGTTCCAGAACAGGGCCGAACCACGAGAGTGCTTGGCCTTCCTCCTGGCTGAGGAAAACCAGTTTCCATCTGTGGTTCCCAGTTCTGTAAAACCTCCAGAGCGAATTTCCAGGCTCAGCTGGGTGGTGCCAGCCCCCACTGTCAGAAGATAAAATGAGCATCTGGCAGACACTCAGGTGATTCTTGTTACAGGGAACTCCCATTCGGAGAAGGAGAGCGTCTAACTCAAAACCTAGAGTGGCAGAGTGGGCACTTGAGTTTGCCACCTCCTCTTCTAGAGGACAGGGAGTCAGTCCACAGTCACACAGTTTTTAGGAGCTGCTGACATCTCTCCCAGGAGAGGCTGCAGGCTGGGGCTGTACTGGGATTCCCAGCAGCCTCAGGGCACCCAGGCCTGGGTGCTTTCCACTGCAGGGTACACTGTGTTTGTTTGTTTTGTGGAGCAAAGAGCCATCCACAGCAGCCCTCCCACCAGCCAGCTGATTCTCAGTGCGAACAGGTGGTCACAAGAAAGCCTGGGAGACAAGCCGCTACCTCATTACAAACCAGCTCCAGGCCTGGGTGGGGAGGCCTGTGGTCAATGGGTGACTCAACATTGCATAGGAATAAGCAAAAGGAGCACCTATGACGCACCCTGGAGTTCTGGGCCCCGAGCAGGTGCCTGACGTACTGCAGCTCTGTTCTCTCCTTCAGTCTCTGGGTAGCACTCTCGCTCATAACGGAGGAGAAAGCTAAGGCGAAGGCGTCTTGGCTTCTTGTCTTACCTCTGGGATAGACCATTGCACCAAGCCTCAGATCCCCATCTGTAAAATGGGGACCATAAAGCCTGTCTTGGTTGTCAAAACATATTAAAAAGTCCCTCATTACAACAGGTACTTAATCCCATTTGCAAGCATTTCAGGATGGGCCGTGCCAAGAGAGAGTCACGAAAACCCTATGAAATATCTGCCAAGTGGTTTCTAGTGAAATATCAGAAATGCAGACTCTCAGGCCCACCCCCCAGTTTAGCCTACTCCCAGGTGATTCCTATACATGGTCAAGGTTTGAGAACTGCTTCTCCAGAACAGGGGTCAGCAAGCTGTTTCAGTAAAGGGCCAGATCATACAGCCTGCAGGGCAGCCGTCACACCGACTCAACTCTGCCATCATAGCTAAAAACAAAAGCAATCATAGGTGGGGTGTTGTTGCTCCCGTTGCTGTTAAGTGACGTCAAGTTGGTTCCGACGTGTAGTGACCGGATAGGGTTTCTGAGGAGAGACTGGTGAGCTCAAACCGTCAACCTTGTAGTTCAAATCAATTTTGCATTTCAGCGCATTAAGCCACAGCGCCACACCAGGACTCCTGACGGGTATATGTTCCAATACAACTTTATTTCTAAAGCAGATAGAGAGCTTGTTCTGGCCTCTCGGGCCTGGAGACCTAACCGTGGCTCAGTGGGTTTGGGGTGTACACCTGAGCCTACGACCTCTTAGGTTTGGTCTGTACTTTAGCTCTTACTTTTTAGCAGCAGCTGTGAGTTTGAGCAGCTCAGCTGTGGGAGTGGTGGGGTGATGTGGGCACAGATGGCCCCTGCCCTCTCCTGAGTATGGTTTCCTCTAGAGGACAAGAAGAGGAAGAGCTCCCTGAAGCGAACAGAGGTGGTGTGCTCCATCCCCTCCCGCTCCCTGCTGTCACCGAGCTACTACCACAGCTTCGGCCTTACCCAGAACTACCTCCTTTTCCTCGAGCAACCCTTCAAGTTGGATATTCTCAAGATGGCAACTGCATACATCCGAGGGGTGAGCTGGGCATCCTGCCTGACCTTTCACAAGGAGGACAAGGTAAGGCCCGGTTGGGGGCAGGTAGAGGAGAGTGCCACAGGGGATTCTGGGAGGCTCCTCTGGGGTGAAGATTTCTGGGAAGGGGGTTTCGTAGGAAGGGCCCTCGGATGGACTCAGTAGAGGGGTGGAAGCTAGATTGCAGGAGGGAGGAGGTCAGCCACTATGCCACTTTCCAGAGAATTCCAAAGCACAGTGGCCTTTCAGAGATGGCCCTGCTTTGGCAAGGTGCTGGATCCTTGTCCCCTGTAAGTCCCTGGGGAGATGGCCCTTGAAAAGATGTGTGACCTCTTACCAGCCAGAGCCATCCCAGTATGAACCTGGAGTTCCCCCACTCCCAGTTTCTGTATGTGTATATGTGGTTTGGGTGCAATTTTACAGAGCAACTTAGTTTTCCATTAAACAATGTGTGCACATTTTCTCTCCTGACATGAACTGCAATCCCAGCCTTAGATTATTCAAACATGCTAATGCTAGACCCTGGAGCAGACAGCACGGTAGAAATGTCCTCTTCTGCTCAAACTTTTCATTTTATTGTTTTGTTGTTGTTACTTCATTTTAAAGAGAGCCCTGGTACTGTAATGGGTTCCACGTTAGGCTGTTAACTGCAAGGTCAGCAGCTGAAATCTACCAGCTACTCCAAGGGGGAAAGATGAGGCTTTCTTCTCCCATAAAGATTCCGTAAAGAAACCCTGTATCTGGTCGCTGTGAGTTGGAACCGACTGTATGGCACACAACCACCACCACCATGTCATTTAAAAGTATATCCAGTTATTCTCAGTCTACCTATTCAAGCAGTTGTTCGAACAGAACATGGGAACACTGAA